AAGGCTAACATTGTTATATTTTTACAAAAAACAGCTGAACATGAGAGGTTTTTGGACCAATTTTGTGTTCTCCATTCTTTAAGCACCGGTTTGAGCACCGTTTGAGCACCGGCACCGTTTCAAAAGTACAGATTTGGCACCGGTATCGGATAAAACCTAAACGATACCCATCCCTAGCCACAAACCACACTCTGCCACATAAACAAACCAAGAATTTATGGAATGCTCAGAAAAACAAGGCCAGGATCATAATTTTTAACAGCATAGTTTTTAACAGCATCAAAGCACTCAAAATAATGTTGCTAGAAAAAACAACAAAGTTAACAACTTTCTTCAATTGTTACCTTTTTTGATAACCCTTAGGAGTATTTTGAGTTTCCTTCTTCTGGCCCTGAGATTTCAAAGGAGGCTCGTTCCTTCATCAATGAACTGATCTGTGACAGGGAAGTTCGTCTTGGAAGGAAAGGCTCCAGTGAATTTAGGAATCATCAGTTTTTCAGTGGACTGGACTGGAGTTCCCTGCATAAAGTCCCTGCACCTTTCCTGCCTGAAGTCTCTAATCCAACTGACACATCAAACTTTGACATCCTCGACGACTGTCTTAGTGAAATGGTAACTTAAAAGAATTTTCATTTAGTATTTGTGTGTGCCATACACTGGCATAAGTCTCATATAAACATATTTGGTTAACTTTCATAGCCAGCATATAACATTAATAAATAAACCAACCTAATCCTATAAAGCTGCCGGTGTGGTCAACATGGGAAATGTGTGTAGCTTCTGACAAAAAAAGAGCAGTTGGTGGTTGTTTGCATGAAAAATTTGAAATCTGTTATGTTTTGCAGGAGACACTATATGATGTAATGGACAGAGCTCCAACAGGAGTACACTTGGCTTTTGTTGGATACTCTTACACTGCTACCAGGTGAACTCAAGTTTAACTTATGTAGTTCAGCTAACTTACCATAACTACCTTTCACATCAAACTTCTTCCACTTATCTGGGGCTGGGTCGCAGGGGCAGCAGCCTAAGCAGAGAAGCCCAGACCTCCCTCTCCCCAACCACCTCCTCTACGGAAAAACCAAGGAGTTCCCAGGCCAGTCGAGAGATGTAATCTCTCCAGTGTGTCCTGGGTCTGCCCCCGGCCTCCTCCCAGAAGACCTCACCAAGGAGGCAGTTTAATCAAATGCCCAAACCACCTGAACTGGCTCCTTTCCATGTGAAGTTGTAGCTCCTCTACTCTGAGCCCCTCCCAGTTGGCTGAACTCCTCGCCCTATCTCTAAAGGAGAGCGTTTAAGCGAAGCTCTCTATTTACCAGTTGATTTATGTCCTTACCCTTATCCCCTCAGGCTTCCTAAGTTCTAAAGCCAAAGGTTTGAATGAGCTATTAAAACCACAGTAGGGGTCTGTCCCCTTTGGATGTGGTGGTTGACCCACTATTAATCGTGTTAATCAAGGTGTGAAAAACAACGCAGAGCTAATGCACCAGGTGTTTCTGGGGAAAAAAGCAACAACAACAACAACAAAAAACAAAAACAAGAAAAAGAAACCGTGAGACCGTGTCCAATCCTAACATGTGACCTGTTGAGGTCACCTGTAGCAAGGTGTGAGTGGGGATTAAAAGACTTCATTATAGGCAGTTGACAGCTGGTGTCATAAGCCACCAACAATTGTTGAACTAAGCCACCACCTTAGTTCAAAAATTGTTGAAGTATTTTACTCTTTAGGTGTCATTCACAAATACATCATACCTACCAGTGGCTGTAGCTCAGGTAGTAGAGTGGGTCACCTACCTCTTAGGTACTATCCTTAAGAGGTAGCAAAGTGGTTTACTTTACACTTCCTCCATGTAAAGTTTGGCTACAATGGGTGAGACTGGGGAACCCATGGCACATGGCATTGGTTCTGTTGCGAAAGGAACTGTCTTGCTGTTGTTGTTTTTTGACAGTCTCCACTGCCTTGGATGTAAGTATACAAGTGAAAAGTGAGACCATATCACAGGACACTATGTTTTCTTTTAAAGTCAGTGTAAGTTTGCAGACCTTGTTGGTGAAGACCGTGAAGTTTTTGGTGTGATAGGGTGTGTTCCCCATAAGCAGAACTAAGATGGTGGCAAGTCTGGCAGGATTCTAGGTGGGTGAGTTTATATTGCCAAGTTTGGCTCTGAAAAGGCGCCTTCTTTGGGGATCTTCAGAAGTCCCTAGGTCCCTATATACAGGGTGTAGTATCCCCATGGTAAAGTTGTTGTAGGGAATAAATTACTTTTCTTATAATATACTTCTTTATTTTGTCTATATTTTATAGTCAGACAGGTGCTGTTGACCGCAGTCAAGATATCATGATGCAGATAAACCACACCCAGCTTAGGGAATGTGAGAATCTGTATGGACTCGAAAAACTGGTAAGTCGATCTCACTCTAGAAACTGCATACACCTCAGAGCTTCCATTTAAAGACACCTATGATCATGTAATTATCATAGTGGACTTTCCTTTTTATCCCACTGATGATCTGCATGTGCTTTAAATTCAGAGTCAGCTATGGAAAGTTACAGACAATCTACCAGACAATCTGCCTCCACTGTTTGAGCTTCCACTTACTTTAGACCAAGATGCTGCTGCATCCACCCACACCACCACAGTGGAGGAGGCGATATCAGGACTTGATGAAGACTTGCAGAGGTATCAGCTAATATAATCTCATCTGCAGTCCATCTACATAATCTGAATATAATTCCTATCTCTTCTCAATTTACAGTAGGCTTTATTTATTACACTTCATTGGATGTTAAATCTTAAGTTTTTTCAGAAAAATTTAATATGGAAATGGTTTGGTCCTTGAAGGAAATATTTCAATATGAAAAAGCTGCAGTGTATTTTGCATTTCCTTTTTGAGGTCAAAAGGCCATTAACATCATGGACATCTGGCTAATTGTTATCAATGCATGTTAATTTATGTGCTGAGATATTACATACGGATAATGGTGACTATGAAATGTGGTAACAAAATCAATCCAGCACTATTTACCACCACTGGACTTCTGAAATCTGTTCTGAAATACATATTGACTGTGACATTTAACACCTGACCACTTGTATTAGAGTATTAGTATTAGACATTTATTCCTTCATTAGGCCATAAATAACTTCCATGAACTGTAAAGCAGATCAAGTAGGTTTACTTGAACTCTAAGTTGATCAGCCCTGGGATTGGCAAGTTTTCCAGTTCCAGAAGACTTGATCAGGAAAGAATCATGCAGGTTGAAACGAGAATCTCAGCAATTGAAGATAATGTAAATAAGCTCCCAACTAAGGTAAAGAAAAAAAAAACAACCAAAAAACAAAACTGGATACAAGATAACAAAAAGACATTCAGAAGGAAAAAAATTGTAGTGCGCTATATTGCGAAATTCTTATTGTTTTCTCAGTTATACTGTTAATGATAAAGCAAGCAAGTAAGTAAAATTTTATTTGTATATCACCTTTCAAGACAAAGATCACAAAATGCTTCACAAGAAAATACCATACATTAAAAAAAAACTTTATTAAATGCAAGTATAAAAAGATTAGTTTTGAGTTATTTTTTGAAAGAGACAACTTAGTCCAAAGATCTGAAGCTCAGGGGAAGAGAGGTCACTGTGTCTATAGTTTTCAGCCTCGTATGGTGTTTGCTGTTTGCTGTTTGTCATTGACAAACTCCAGTGCGAGCTGGAGGCCACCACCTGATGAACCCAACAGAACCACCTTTTATCTATAAAAACTAGGCTCAGAATTGGTGACAAAGGGCAGCCCTGGCAGAGTCCAACACCCACAGGGAATGAGCCTGACTTACTGCCTGCAATACAAACCAAGCTCTCGCTACAGGGACTGAATAACAACTGGCCACACACCCAATACCCGCAAAGCACTCCCCGCAGGATATTCAAAGGGATTGGTATAATGTCCACAAAACACATGTAGGGGCGACCATGACGCCGGGGGTTGAGAAGCGCATCTGTAACCGGAAGGTTGCCGGTTCAATCCCTGGGCTCTCTGTCCTGGTCGTTGTGTCCTTGGGCAAGACACTTTACCCTACTGCCTACTGGTGTTGGCCAGAGGGGCCGATGGCGCGATATGGCAGCCTTGCTTGTGTCCGTCTGCCCCAGGGCAGCTGTGGCTACAGCTGTAGCTGCCTCCAGTGTGTGAATGCGAGAGTGAATGAATAGTGGCATTGTAAAGCGCTTTAGGTGCCTTGAAAAGCGCTATATAAATCCAATCCATTATGTAGACTGGTTGGCCAAACTCCCATGAATAACCTCGAGAGTATAAAGTGCTGGTCCAGTATTCCACAGCGAGTATGAAAATTGCATTGTTCCTCCTCAATTTGGGGTTTGACTAATGGAGAGACTCTTCTTTCCAGTATCCTGGCATAGACTTTCCCAAGGAGGTTGAGCAGTGTGATCCTGTATAGTTGGAGCACACCTTCCTGTCCCTCTCCTAAAACAGGGGAACCACTCCAGTCTGCCAGTCCAGAGGCACTGTCCCAGACCTCCATGCAATGTTGTGGAGATGTGTCAGACAGTCCTACAACATGAAAAGTTTCCAGGAGCCTTTCTGTTACTGTGCAGTTGCTTAACCACATAGTGACCTAAACCCCAGTGATGGGCAAGTTGTCCCCCTTCTCCCCAGACTCTGCTTCCATAGGTTCTCAGTTAGCAAGGTCATGGTTTTCTAAGGAGCTTGGAAAGAAAGCAACTAGACTTGTTTAATTTTTTTGAAGACATTTCACCTCTCATCCGAGAAGCTTCTTCAGTTCTAAAATCAAATGGTGGAGCATCCCAGGTATTTAATCCCCAGTCGGTGTTATCCTTTAAGAGGGTCATATTAATCATGTGACTCATCACATGAGCCAAGGTGTGATAAAAGCCGTGGGTCATTGTCAGCAGAGGCTTTGGGTGAAACCATTGTGAGAGCTTGCCTCACCCTAATATGTACCCATTGAGGTCACCTGACGCAAGATGTAAGTGGGGATTGACGCGCCAGGGAAGGGATCTCAAAACTGAATTGTAGGTAGCATTGTCAAGTACAGACAGGTTTTAAAGGTTCGTTAAATAGTATGAGGTATTTTTTTTACAATGCTAAAATTTAGGGTTTTGACTGCAGATCAACTTTGAAACCCTAACTATGACGTAACTGCAACATATTAAAATTCATTTTTAGAATAAGACACTGAACAGAGTTTACTTTATCCTACAGATCATTTCATGAAGCAGAGATGCGATATTGTGAGCTGGAGAAAGAAATGGATAGATTAATGGAAGAAATGCAGGAATGGAGAATCCCCAAGAAGACAGGCAAGTGAGCAACCTTCACCACACCATCATCTTCATGTCATCAACATCAGTCCGTACAGTCTACCTCTGTTTAAGTACAGTCAATATCATTCTGACATGGTGAAGATCTTTGTCGACTTTTATCAGTCAACCAATATTTATGTGACCATTTATGAAAGCAGGGAAATAGACAGAAGTCTAGTCCACGTTAAGATAAAGATGTATTTTAAATTGTCCAGTTAATCCAGGTATTTTAGTAAGACACATGGAAATCTATACAGTATCTCACAAAAGTGAGTACACCCCTCACATTTTTGTAAATATTTTGTTATATGTTCTCATGGGACAACATTAAAGATATGACACTTTGATACAATTTAAAGTAGTCAGTGTACAGCTTGTATAACAGTGTAAATTTGCTGTCCCCTCTAAATAACATAACAGAGAGCCATTAATATCTAAACCACTGGCAACAAAAGTGAGTACACCCCTAAGTGAAAATGTCTAAACTGTGCCCAAAGTGTCTATATCTTGTGTGGCCACCATTATTTTCCAACACTGCCTTAACCCTGTGGCCATGGAGCTCACCAGAGCTTCACAGGGTGCCACTCCTCTTCCACTCCTCCATGATGACATCATGGAGCTGGTGGATGTTAGAGACCTTTTGCTCCTTCACCTTCCATTTGAGGATCACCCACAGATGCTCAATGGGGTTTAAGTCTGGAGACATGCTTGCCCAGTCACGTACCTTTACCCTGAGTTTATTTATCAAGGCACTGGTCTTTCTGGAGGTGTGTTTGGATTGTTATCATGTTGGAAAACTGTCCTGTGGCCTGGTGTCTGAAGGGAGGGGTTCATGCTCTGCTTCAGTATGTCACAGTACATGGTGGCATGTACTGTGTATTAATGGCATGGTTACCTCCATTAATTGTAGCTCCCCAGTGCCAGCAGCACTCATGCAGCCCCAAACAATGACATCCCACCACCACGCTCGACTGTAGACAAGACACACTTGTCTTTGTACTCCTCACCTGGTTGCTGCCACACATCCTTGACACCATCTGAGATAAGTTTATCTTGGTCTCATCAGACCACAGGTGATCCATGTCCTTAGTCTGCTTGTCTTCAGAAAACTGTTTGTGGGCTTTCTTGTGCATTATCCTTAGAAGAGGCGTCCTCCTGGGATGACAGGCATGTGATGTGCGGCGGATGGTCTGAGCACTGAAAGGCTGACCCTCCACGCCTTCAACCTCTGCAGCAATGCTGGCAGCAATCATACATCTATTTTTAAAAGATAACCTCTGGATATAAGGCTGAGCATGTGCACTCAGTTTCTTTGGCCGACCATGGCGAGGTTTGTTCTGAGTGGAACCTCTCCTGTTTAACTGCTGTATGGTCTTGGCCACTGTGCTCCAGTTCAGTTTCAGGGTGTTGGTAATCTTCTTATAGCCTAGGCCATCTTTGTATAGAGTATCAGTCCTTTTTTCAGATCCTCAGAGAATTCTTTGCCATGATGTGCCATGTTAAACTTCCAGTATGACCAGTATGAGAGAGTGTGAGAGCAACAACACCAAATTCAACACACCTGTTCATCATTCAAACCTGAGACCTTGTAAAACTAACGAGTCACATGACACCAGGAAGGAAAAATGGCTAATTGGGCACAATTTGGACATTTTCACTTAGGGGTGTACTCACTTTTGTTGCCAGCGGTTTAGACATTAATGGTGCGCTGAGTTATTTAGGGGGACAGCAAATTTACACTGTTATAGAATCTGCACACTAAGTACTTTACATTGTATCAAAGTGCCAAATCTTCAATGTTGTCCCATGAAAAGACATAACAAAATATTTACAAAAATGTACTTACTTTTGTGAGATACTGTATAACTCACTGTATTGTCCTGAAAAACATATGTGGGCTTGAATGAGTTCCAGACGACACTGATCCACTATGAATAAACAAAGTGCTGTACAATCCCGGCCATGTCTGTTTATATTGGAGGCCTCAGTCAGAACATGGTGATAAAAAGCCATTCTAAAGATACCGCTCGTATGCAGAAAATTGGATCTTAATACAGTGTCATGAGGTTTTTAAAGATCAGTGATACTGCTGGACTGATGGATAAATGTGGTGCAAAAGCATGTACACATAAAGCAGGGGTGTCAAACTCCAGGCCTCAAGGGCTGGTGTCCTGCAGGCTTTATATCTCACCCTGGGTCAACACACCTGAATCACATGATTAGTTCATTTCCAGGCCTCTGGAGAACTTAAAACATGTTGAGGAGGTCTTTTAGCCATTTAAATCAGCTGTGTTGGATTAGGACACATCTAAAACCTGCAGGACACCGGCCCTCGAGGCCTGGAGTTCGACACCTGTGACATAAAGCATGTGCCTTGCTTCATTTGGGGCTATTAAAAAAGTGAGTAGTCAATTTGACTTCACAGCTTTCACCCACCTGCTTTCTTCCTCTATTTAGACACATTGTTTTTCTTTCTGTTCATCTCATATACGTACTGTTTTTTAATCGGTTCTCTCTCTTCTTTGTGTTACTACAAATGTGGATGGCAAACAGTACACACAAACAGCCAAATGCCTGCAACAGTGCACACACATCATAAACATTGACATTCCTCTCTCTCATCCAATGACAGAGTTGAGTAGCTGCCCATCATCTCTTGCTCTGCCTGCCCACTGTGTGGAAGCAACAAGGGATGTAAGCCTATCTTTAATCCACTTTCATATTGTCTTTCTCTGCCTGACATGAGAAACAAAGCACTTTTTAAAAACAAGCATGTATCTGTTTGATTCTCCAATGTATTTGATAAACTATTACAGTGGTTGTCACAGTTAGCTTACCCATAGTCTCTGTGTACATTCACTATTGAAAACTTGCATTTGTTACAGAGAAGGAAAGCACCTCCAGCCTGCCATTACCCACTGGTGATTCCTCTCCACCGCCACCTGCTCCTGTTCCACAGGGTACAGACATAATGCTATAGAAATATTGTATCAGTTACAGTTAGTGTTCTACATTAGAATGTCTGAGTAAAAAGAGTTTAAAAAAAGATCGGGAACATCAATCAAATGAATCTGTGTCTCCCATTTAACTTCCACATTGGTTGAGTAGAATAGATTTTTCCTCAACAAATATGTAATTTGCAAGTCTCCTTAAAATAACTCTGGGAAAGACTCTATGTCCTTGTTTGGCCTAACATTATTTTTCAGGTTTAAATTATGGGATGTTCAACAATATGTCAAAGCTTCAACACGTCTTCAGTGAAATGTTTTTATTTGATACTTCATTTCATATACAAGACACCGTACAAAACATAAAAAAATATTGTTTTGCTTTGTTCTGGGGGGCTCATATCTTTTTGGGTCTTGGGTTGATTTTGAATGTACTATTTATTTATACTGAAAATAACATCACCTCTACTCTCAAACAGTTTCAGAACTTGGTGTAGTGGATTACAAAAAATCATTTGAGATTTTGCAAGTCAGTATATAGTTTCTACAGATTTGTCAGCAATGTCACTGTCATTAAAATTTTTATATATTGAATTCATTTATATAGCGTAAAACCACAACAACAATTGCCTCAAGGCACTTTTTATTGTAAGGTAAAGATTCTACAATAATATAGACAAAACAGAGAAAATCTCAACAATCATATGACCCCCTATAAGCAAGTGCTTTGGGAACAGTGGAAAGAAAACCTCCCTTTCAACAGGAAGAAGACTCAGGGAGGGGCGACCATCTGCCCTGACCAGTTAGTTAGGTGTGAGGGGAGGAAGACAGAACAAAGACATACTGTAGAGGAGAGCCAGAGATTAATAATAACCAATGATTAAATGCAGAGTGGTGTATAAACACAGTGAGTGAAGAAGAAACACTCTTCTTCATGCATCATGGGAACCCCCTAGCAGCCTTGACCTAATACAGTGTTAATCCAGCCGCAACGATTTGCTTTGTGTGCATTGTCAAAAAGGAAAATTTTAAGCCTAATCAAAAAAGTAGAGTGGGGGTCTGTCTCCCAAATCCAGACTCAGAGCTGGTTCCACAGAGGGGCCTGCAAGCTGAAGGCCCTGCCTCCCATTGTAGTTTCTTTTTTTTTTTTCTTTTTTTTTTTAACCTGTCCTGTCCAGCAGTTGTGGCAAGCAGAATTATGTTCTGAATACTTTGTTGTGCTAACCATATTTGCTTTCCCAAGGGAAGCACCATAGAATCTATGTAGTCTAATGTTTTTGTTTTATTGGTTTACTTTATTTTACTATTCATATGACTGTCTTGCAGATGTTGTTATGCAGGACGAGACAGGGGTAAAGGCCAGACTAGTGAAAGATAAGTGAAGAAAGCAGAAAAATAGAAAGGGGGGGGGGGGGTTGAGGATGAAGTGAATAGATTCTGCAATAAAGCACACACAAACGATACACACCACAAAAACACAAACAAACAAATATGCAATTTTCCTCTGTGTGTGTGTGTGTGTGTGTGTGTGTGTGTGTGTGTGTGAGAGAGAGCGAGAGAGAGAGAGAGAGAGAGAGAGAGACAGGCAATGTGAGTGCCTGTGTATAAGTGTTTGTCATTGAACGTACTTGAAAATTGAGGATGAGCGGCTGCAATAATGCCATGCCCCTAGAGCCAGAAGCAGACAGGGAAAGACCCAGGAGATCCTGACTGTTCACGGCACCTAAGAGACGCCACACAGCCCGATGACAACCATGCATCCACCCCAGCCAAGAGAAGAGGGAGGTCCCGGAACAAGCTCCAACAGCTCGGATGGGGGTGTCAGACCAGAGGCACTGGACAGTCAACCCTGCTGGAGGCCGGCCACCCCAACACGAGCCTCAGATGGAGCCACAGTCCCCGAGATGTTCGAGAACCACCCAAAACCCAGCTGTGCTCCACCATATGATAAAGAGGCTCTCAAGCTACCCCAGACCACATCTCCAAGGGAGCCGACCAACCACGCCAAAACGCCCAGTCAGGTACCCCGGAGTCACCAAGCGCTCAAATCCCGAGGAAGTGGGTAGGTCTGTGGCAACCAGTGAGGAGCAGCAGGAAGGGAATCCCCCACCCCTAATAACAATGTCCCTGAGGATCAAGGCCCATTCCTAGCCACATGCACACACAGACCCACACACAGAAACTGCACAGACACACATATCCATCCACATCCATCCCACCACATTATACTTTTAATTACTCTTGTAACTACAAGAAAGCCAGCAGCCTGAGAGCAAAGCAGTCCATTAGTGTGATATGGTATTATGAGGTCATTAAGATAAGATGGGGCCTGATTATTTAAGACCTTGTATGTGAGGAGCAGGATTTTGAATTCTGGATTTAACAGGAAGCCAATACAGGAGAAATCTGCTCTCTTTCTAGTCTCTGTCAGGACTCCTGCTGCAGCATTTTGGATTAGCTGAAGGCTTTTCAGGGAGTTTTTAGGACTTCCTGATAATAATGAATTACAGTCGTCCAGCCTGGAAGTAATAAATGCATGAACTAGTTTTCAGCATCACTCTGAGACAGGATATTTCCAATTTTAGAGATATTGCATTCTACACGTTAAAGAAACATGTAGGAAAGCAGGCCTACGTGTTTCTTTAACGTGATCATTGAAGAACATATCCTAACCCCATCCAGAGAGTAAGCATCTGATTAGATACCATACATCTAAAATTTTGGGTTGAGTACAATAACCTCAGTTTGACCTGAATTTAGAAGCAGAAAATTAGAGGTCATCCAGGTCTTTATGTCTTTAAGACATTTAGATTAAGACAGGCAGTTTAACAAATTGATGTGTGGTATCTGGCTTTTTGGATAGATAAAGCTGCATAGCAGTGAAAATGTACTCTGTGCTTTCTAATGATACTGCACAAGGGAAGCAAGCTGTAATAAATTATTATATATTGAACAGTATTGAATGCTGTACTGAGGTATAGCAGGACAGCACAGAGAGGAGTCCACTGTCAGAGGCCATAAGAAGATCATTTTTAACCTTCACTAAAGCTGTTTCTGTGCTGTGATGAGCTCTGAAACCTGACTGAAACTCTTTTTTTAAAACAAAAATCCTGTCCTGTCTAGAAGCTTTTGCAATCAGAATTATGATCTGAAGGCACTGTTGTGCCAAACACATTTTCCTTAAATCATCTATATCTATATCTTTTATAGTATGACAAATCCTAAGGCAGGACAGGCAGGAGAAAAAAAAGGAAGGAGGTCAAACTAAGGATACAGTAAAAATAGAAATGCACACTGGATCACCAACTGGAAAAAACATATAGCACCTGGAACACAAAAATATGAAAATGCACAGATGTCTTGTGGTTTGTGAGAAAGAGACTGTGAATGTCTGTGTCTCTGTCATGAAATGTACTTGAAAATAAGGGTGGGAAGCTGCAATAACAGCCCCCAGGAGTCAGAGGCAGACAGAGGTAGATCCAGGAGATCCATTCCATCCGCAGCCCCCAAGAGTACCTAAGACCAGAGGCCACACATCTCTGCAACACCTGCACGTCCATCCCAACAGGAGGGAGGCCCCAGATGGAGTGCCTACAACCAAAGGGCAAGAGTCACAGAGGACCAGAGGCCACCCTGGTATAAGCCGTGGCCCCAGGTTCTCAAAAAGTCCGAGCTACCCTGGACCACCAAGGGAACTGGCCAACAACCATGCAACCATTTTTTTTCTCCAACTGTTCAAATTGTATTTGTGAAGAAATTCATGATGGCATTACTAGTTAAGGTTAATGGAAAGTTTGGCTCAACAGAGCTCTGACTTTTTGTCAGCCTGGCTACAGTGCTGAAGACAAACCAAGGGTTGTTCTTGTTTCCTTCAGTGGTGAATTGTAATGTGTTGTATTTTTCCAGGCTAAATTATGATCTTCTAAATTAGATGCCATTTTCTCTCCAGCTTCCAAATTATCTGCTTCAATGTGTGTGTCTGAGAGTTATACCAGAGAGTCAAGGACTTCTGATTGGAAGTGGTCTTTTTCAGAGTTGTACATAGTAAAGATGTAAAATTATTAACAAGATAATCAACCTCTGTGGGAGTAGAGTTCAGGTAGCTGCTCTGCACTGGCACATGGTAACAGGACTGATTCCTACTCTCCCAGAGCACTTTATTCCTCATTCACACAATCACATTCTTCTATGCTTAAGTCCGTTTTATCTACCAATTACACTCATTCATACTCCAATGGATGCATGGGAGAACAACTTAGTGTTAGTATCTTGCCCAAGGATATTCAGGCATGCATAGTGGTACAGCCAGGGTTTAAACCACCAACCTTGCATCAGTATATGACCTGCTTTACCTCCTGAGCTACAGCCACATGGCGTTAAAGATGATAACATTGGATGAATTTGTTTTTTTTTTAAACGTAGTTACAGCACTTTCAGAAAGACATCTACTGTGATACAATCTATTCCCCACTGCGGCATAAACCATTATTGTAAATGTAAGTAATATTGAGAAATGATCTGACAAAAACATTTTGAATCAACTGAACGCATTTCAGGGAGTTTTTAGGACATGCTGCTAATAACTAATTACAGTAGTCCAGTCTAGAAGTAATAAATCTATGAATTTGTTTTTTTCTCAGCAAACGTTGCCCATTGGGGAAAAACGATTAGAAAAAGAACAGGTTGGCGATATACAGAGGTCTTCTGTTTAGGACTATGCTTCATCCTCACGTCACCCAGCCATCCTGTTTTCCCAGGAGCTCGGGACAATCCGCTGGAGGCGCGCTAACAGTGCCTATGCTAGCTTTGGGCCCACCAACAGGGGACTAGCTAGCTATGGGTTTTTCAAGGGTGTGGAGTTGGGCCTTCAGTGATTCTGGCCTCCATATGAAACAGACTACATTTATTACAAGTATCATTACTGCTATAGGATGCACAGAAGTAACAAAAACATCTGAAACCCTGCGCAAGAATGGGCATGAGGGATAGGTGAAAAGGTCATGGTGCTAGCGAGTCGGTTACAAGCTAAGCTAAGCTAGTGAGTCCATAAAGACCCAGTGTGAATTCAATAAAGGGACTAGATGTTACAATCCCTGATATTATTGTGTGGATATATACTTAGTGTGAATATAATTAGTGGGCGGTTCAAGACAAAGTGTGCTTTGAAAAAGTTATGTGATGATTACACTATGAAATAAGACGCATTTTTAATTAAACGTTCATGAAACGTGTTTTTAAATGCTCCTACTTTGTAAAAGAATGCATTTTATTTCACTATACTTACTAGGATGTATAATGATAAATATGAGTTCACTGCAAGGTTTACTGGATTTCTATTAAAATTATGGGAGGCTGTGGCTCATGAGGTAGACTGGTTTGTCCAGTTCTGTTGATGTTTTAATCCGGTCTCCTTGTCAAATATCCTTGGGTTAGATATTGAATCCTAAATTGACACTGATCAGTGTGACACACACACTGAAAATCTGCTTGGTTACCTGCTGAAAAAAACAACAACCAAACAACAGCACAGCAGAGAAACCACAGCAACACCAGGTACTTAGAAAGTATAACAACTTTATTAACTGCTGACATGTATTCAAACACTTTTGGTCCTATTGAACTTACCAAGTCAGCTTCAATAATTACTTCATCCAAAGCATCAATGTCTATTAGACCACACTCCTACAAGGTTATTTAAAGACTTTCATCATCAAATGTGGAATAGAAACATCAACTGTGATTGATTTGTAGAGGAATGGCTTGTTTGAATGAATTCATCCAGGATTTAGATTTGTATCATAGCACATTACTAGTGAATGTTACGATCTTCTTATGACAGGGTTTAATCTCTGTGTTGAACCTCAGAGCAGTATTTCATAATGTTCATGATAACATTGTATTACAGACATAATAATATACCACTAGTAAAAAGGGGATTATTCATTTATTTAAATGTTATTTATTGATATATTCAAGCTTGTGTGGGTAAACATGCTTCTCTTAGACAACATACATTTATCTATGAAGCCAGATGACACAAATCAGTTAGTTTCAAGTTTCACTTAGTCTTTTTTTTTAAACTGATTTTTTCTCTGATTTCTCTGTAATATGTTATATGTATTGCAGGTTCTTTACCTTGCAATATAAAAAGGCACCGACTGACCGTTATGCTGTTGGTGCTGTATAAATAGAATTGGGGCAATTTGGGGTTTAGTCTTCCCCAAGAATACTTTACCTCTAATGGCCAAATTAAACATGATGTACAATTCAGTTTAATGAATGATTAAAGAAAATATTTTTGTAATGTTCTTTCTTTGTTCTACAGATTCGTCTGCCACAAGTAAAGAGTGAATCATACCTTCTGGTGTGTGCAGAAGGGGGGAAGCTCCAAATATGGAGGAGACACTTATCCTAAGCTCTCTGAAGATGTCACCACTAGAACAGGAGAAAAGAACTGAGCCTCTGTTTTTTGCTCACTCCTTGCCTGAGACCCTCACAGCTTTCCAAACTTCCACCTGAAAAGAAAAAGCAGGTTAAACACTGTTAATATCAACTGTTGTGAATGTGTTACAGAAGATATGAAGAGAAAAGCAGTTGCTGGAAGCTAATGAGGAAGAAATGATGAAGACATCTTCTGACCTGCCCTGCCTGCTTACCAGCCTGAAAGTCATAGAAGAAATATATTGATTTCAGAACACACTGAATTTACTTTGTTGTGTGAACACTGAAAGGGAAACGAGTCAGATAAATTGCTCCCTAACACACTACCTTTACGCATTTCAAACCATATTGCTACAATTTTTTTGTATTATGTATCAACACAGTTTGTATTTGTGTTCCATAACAATGGTTTGCTGTGTGACTTTAGAACTGAAATTGTTGACCACAATATCTGTTTATGGCGGATAATCCATCCCACCTCACAGGTGTGGCATGTCAAGGTGCTGATTAGACAGCATGAATATTGCACAGGTGTGTCTGAGACTGCCCACAATAAAAGGCCACTCTGAAATATGCCGTACATGTGTAGCACAATGACACACATGTCGCAAAACCAGTCAGGATCCGGTTCAGCTCATGGAAACAAAAGTGTTGTGTTTATATTTGTGTTCAGTGTAACAAATACTGAGACGTGTAATAATGTCGTGTGTTGTTCATCTGAGGACGCTGCAAAGAACCAGATTATTTTTATTATCCTGTTTGTCTGTTATGTGAACCTTTAGAGGATGTACCTTATAATGACTGAGTGTGTTTATCGCACTATGTTAAATGTAACTGTGAGCGACACGAGGCTTACTGCTCATGGTTACCTCATCAGTGGTGAAGTCAGCCAGCTTGATGCAAGAAACAGGAAGAAGAAAAGGATGAAAGAGCAACACACAGATGAAAAACAAAAACAGACTTTCTAACCGACAGAGCTGAAATCTGAACATGTCACCAGCTGCAGGAGGCAACGCTCTGAACCACGTCGTTCCTCCTCCAGATGGAGCTTTCACTGCCTATAGTCTCTTGACATACAATGGTTGGATTCTCCTATGATACTGTATCAGCTGAGCCTCAAATTCTTATGATCTCGAGCTTCTTCAGTCTCAGTGAATCCTTAGTTGGCTCAGATGCATCATCTGGTGTTTGAGTGTAACAAGGTGGTTGTAACACAAAAGGAGTGTAAACAGGTGAGTGTGGTTTGTAGTGTAAACTAAAGCAGCGTGTCTAACCAACCACATCTCCATCGCTCCACAGCTGCTGAGGGAGCTACAACCCTCATTCAGCCTTTCACAGACATACGGCAATGAACTGTATGAACAATAAACTTTATTCATACACACAAATCCCTTTAAGGTTGTGTCAGCGAGGGCAAACGTGCCACATCAAATACATGGAGCTACAAGCTGTGGTGACCCACTGTCAGTAAGGGAGCTTTATTACACACACACAGCATCACAACAACAGTTACCTCAAGCTGCTTCTATGTTATAAGGCAAAGACCCTGCAGTTACACAGGAAACATTAGGTGACCATCTGTGAGCGACAGTGGGAACCAAAGCCTCTAACAAACATCCATCGATAGATGAGGGGCAGACGGACTGAATGCAGAGAGGTCTACTAACACATGTTGAGTGAAGAAGAAACACCCAGTGCATTATGGGGAACTTAGACCTATAACTTAGACCTGTGTGCGCCTTAGCATATGCTACTTCCGGCGCATAGCGCTTAGTTTCCGGTGTGATATTCGCTCCTTGTTCACGGTCGGGTTTTTCAACCAAATGGACGAATCAAGTGGCGATTTACATTTCTCGAGATGTCAAATGTATCTGTAGATGATGTTGATCAACTTGTCGATATTTTTTCCCCCCGCGCCTCAGAGAGAGACAGGATTCAAATTTTATACTTCTCAGTATTTGTATACAGCGCTCCCTCATTTATCGTGGGAGTTACGTTCTAAAAATAACCTGCGATTGGTGAAATCTGAAGTAGCCAACTTTATTTTTTACAATTATTATAGATGTTTTAAGGTAAAACCCGTCACTACACACTTTATACACTCAGACCGACATGAACATTTTCACACGTTTCTCTCCTGTTTAAGCTCTCAAAGCTCAAACCTTCGTAGACAAATAAGTCCAGTATTACAGAAACCAAAGATCAAACCGTGTTTTCAGGTCCAGCACATGAGAACAGAGCAGCTGAGAGATAATTCAACATCAATGAATCATTAATGAATCAATGA